CAGAATTCCCCAGCCAGCATGCTGGCTGGGGAATTCTGGGCGTTGAAGTCCATACATCTTCAAACTGCCTGCCAAGGATCAGAAACACAGGTATTAGAAAAGTTTGGAAGTCTTTTTTTTTTCTTTTTCCAGTGAAAACCAAGGCAAACAATATCATTTTGTGCAGCACCTTTTCTAAAAATGAAAATTTTGCAATATTACCGAGAAGTCACAGGTTTTTAATCCTGGCTCAGAATTAACCTCCACTGCGCTCACATGGGTTTGTCATGTGAAAGCTGAAGGGCAAGGAGTAGGAAGCAGACTTACTGACAGAATCTATAAATCCATCGACATGGCTGTACGGCACTAGGGGTTCAGGTAACTCTCGGAAGAAAAGCTTCAGGGCCCCTGTTATCACGTGCACATCATCCCACTGTGGGCTGGTCAAGTTCAATTTCTCCTCTAGGAACAAGGAAGACAGGTTCAGTGAGGAAGGCAGAATCACTCCAAAGGGGACCTTTTTCAGTATGTCATCCTTCTGTTTTATGGGTAGAGAGAGTGATCAAATATATGAAGGGGCCGAAGTACAAAGCTCCAACCAGCATGGCTGTTGGTGAGGAATGCTGGGAGATGCAGTTCAGCCAAAGTTGAAGTGCCATAAGTTCCTTGGCTCTTTTTTTAAAAGGATAAATAAATGCGGGCAATGTTAATGCAGCTTCTCCTTCCTTCCATGTTCATCTGTACTTCTTTCACTTAAGGGGCGTAGCAGACCTGAACTCCCCGAAACTGTAATTTGGCAGGCCTGAAATGTAATTGGAATAGAATAGAAAGGTCCAGCCACTTCATCTTTTGCTTTATTGGAAATGTTCAAGGTTCTTGCTTTCCAATTCTTGCTGATTCTACAGGGAATGCTGATTCTACAGATTCTTGCTGATTCTACAGGGAATGTTGATGCTAAATCCAGACTGTAGGTACAGGATGGTCATTTGCAAAAATAAGATATTACTTCTGCATCTTCATACTTCTGGGAGGAGAAACATGTTGGTGAGTGCAGACAGCCTGAAAGACACTGACCCCAGGTCCTCATTTGCATCTGACTGCCTTAAACTGTTGCACATCTGTAAGCCCATTGTCTTCAATGAAGGACATTCAGGAGATAGTACCTCAGCTGCCCAAAGGGTGGTTTCACTGATGGGACAGCTTCTATACCATTGAAAGAGTCCCCAACACACCTGTGAAAAGCTCTGCATGTAGAGATAGTAAATCCTTGAAATGGCCCACTTTTTCCCGATAGAGCCCCCAAAGGCAAGAAGCTGTAGCTGATAAAGTTAATTTCCTTCCTCCTGGGGCAGCCGAAGGAAAGTGCAGAGAGTGGGGAGGAAGGGGAGACGACACTGGGTAAACTCAGATTTGACTCTCTCCCTAGAATCAGAGAGACTTAATTGTGGCTAAGAAGACAATTGGGTCACGAGAGGCTACTATGACCCATAAACTGAAAGAAGGACCTTCCAAGTCCAAAGATAAATATTTATTTATTTTAGCAAATTAAGATGGCTGCTCATCTTACATAGGAACACTGAGCAGCCATCTTAATTTGCTAAAATAAATAATTAACAGATACAATAAACTTCTACAAATCAAGCAACTAACAGAATTAGAATTATCATAATACATAATATAAGCATAAGATATATTTAAATCTCCCAGGACTTCAGTTTTCCCAAACAATAGATTTTTCATGTATTTCTGTGTTCCAGGATGCCCTTTATGCAACTGGAAACCTTACAAAAGAAGGTCTGCTTGTTTTCTGTTTCAGTGGATCCTGAAATAACCTCCTTCCATCTTCAGACTGAAAATAGCCATGAGCATAAGACTGCCTGACACCAAAATCGGACTTTTTCTTTCTTTCTCTTTCTTTCTTTCTTTCTTTCTTTCTTTCTTTCTTTCTTTCTTTCTTTCTTTCTTTCTTTTCTCTCTCTCTCTCTCTCTCTCTCTCTCTCTTTTAGTTGGTTGGGGTCTTTATCCTCAAAAGGAACAGAAACTCCATTGGGAGTTGTCATTTTTAAATTATTCACACAGAAGGAGACCTGTACGAACCCAGAATTTGCACCCTACATTCAAAACATAATTTGGTTTCATTAAAGGCCCCTGCCTGTTCCACGACTCTTGGGTGATCAGGGTTGCTATTTCAAAGACTGAGGGACAGAAACATTACCTTGGCAACGTTGCTCTGGGAAGACATAGCGCCCATCGGATGTCACTGCCCGTTCTGCAAAGCAGCACAATGGTTATTGAGGATGCCACAAGAGGAACAATATCTTGTGGCAAAGAGTGAAGACAGGTTTGAGTGGTGGCCAGAGTGTTTCCATCCATTCTGGATGAGTTTACAGAATGCTGAGACATAAGGTGGCTTGTCTATTGTTGTTTTTCTGTAGTGTAGGAACCCAGCCATTGTCACCTTATCATTTATTTGTTTGTTTGTTTTCTATCCTGCCTTGAGCTCAGGTAAACAGAGCTCTCTCTTCCTATTTTCCCCCACAGCAACAACCCTGTGGGGTAGCTTGGGCTGGGAGAGAGTGAGGAGACAGTGAGCTTCCATGGCTATGAGTGGAGTAGAACCTGAGTCCCCTTGCTCTTAGTCCGACACCTTCACCACCACACCACAACAGCACAAATATTCAAGACAAAGGCTGATTCAGCCCTTAGGGCACATCCAGACAGCCAGGTTAACATGATTTCATCTAATGTTCGGGACAGCATAAAAATATGTTGGCATAATGTATCCTGCCCCAATCTAGTCTCCCCCATTAACAAGGCCTGCCAGTGGGATGTCCTAACAGTTTATGGCAAGGCAAGTTAAGGGGAAGAGATTGGTGGATTTCCCTGCTGGCAGGACAAACATCCATCAATAGCTCCCCCTAACATGGGGTAATGCTGGAGAAGAAGGCAAATTTTGACAGATGGCTGGAGAGTTGGGTTTAGATATCTGTCCAAATCTTTAACTATACGAACTGATCTAGCCACTTTGGTACAACCTGCCTGACGAACCTGTGTAGAAAATAATGTCCTGACTGACAGGCAGGTTGCTTTAGAGAGGCTACTGCATTATCTATCAAAGTCTGTGCAGCGTTAGCACCTGGAAGGGTTCTGGTCTACCTGCTGTCACTCAAGAAGAACCAAGTGGAGAATGCAGTAGATCAGGACCTCCTCTTACATGGAAGACAACTACTTCCACATTGGATCAGAAAAATCTGAAGTGAGCTCATTCATCTATGGGCTAGGAATGAGAGGAAGACCATGTCATGTGGATATGTCTTTGAAGAATGGTTAGCAAGGCATCCTTGAGCTGAAAAAAGGAAGTCTTGTCCCTCTGGTCAGCCTTGCCTTAACATATAATTTTCACATATATTAAAGGGACATGTATACATTTACGTTCTCCAGGTTCCTCTAATTCACTGTTTCTCAACCTCAGCAACTTTAAGATGTGTGGACTTCAGCTCCCAGAATTCCCCAGCCAGGATTAAGTCCACACATCTTAAAGTTGCTAAGATTGAGAAATACTGCTCTAATTCATCTAA